CACGGTGTATCCTTTTAAAGATTGATTATCTTTTTTAGAAGTCTAGAAACAGTAGTTGGTTTTGGTTTCGACTTGTGTGGGTATTTTAGTGGAAAGAAAAATTGCTTTGGGAGTCAGTCTATTAAATAGCACTGACTTCAGGCAAGTTTCTGGACATTTAAGATAACAGTTTTGGTGTGATTTAAAGTTCTTTTGAGTTTATGCATTATGACTTATAATAAATAACAAGTATTACAAAGCAGTCTTCTAAATGTGATTATATGTACTTGCCTACTTAAAGTTCCTAAGAGCCAAAGCAAGCTTGCCTTCTTTGATAGCTTTTGGAATAAGCCCCTGTTTCTGCTTTTATTTTTGGGCTTTGGAGTTGGGTAGATGGCCAGTGCAATTAAACAGGTACCACAATACCTTAACAGTGTTTCAGGCTACTCTCAAATTGAGCTTTTAAGTAAGAATCAGTCTTTTCTAATTAAGGTAATTTATTAAAGGTGTTATCCAGGAATGTGCAGCCAAACTTTTAACAGTTGGAGACTTTGATGTAATAAAATATTAGACATCCTCCAACTTGTATCTTCTGGGAATACAGGAGTGGTTTGGTGAAAATGGCATAGTTCTGATGCTGGAAGTAGCTGCAGGCTTTCAGAACCTCCTTGCTATTACAAGCCAACTGCAGCAAAACTGCATGACAGAGGAGATTAAGTTTTCCTTTGTTCTTGGGGGAGTGGCAGGGGGGAAGGAAAACATGTCTCTCTTTCCTCCCCATGTTCTTGGATCAGCTCCTCTCTCATGAAGGTTAAATGGAATTCACATGTGTTCTTCATGATCATGTGTTCTAGGTTTCTGTCTCAAGTGTTTTCTTTTTAAAATTGGAATACATTTCCTGTGAATGTTTTTCATTTTTTATGGTCTTCTGTCTTGCAAATTGTGTTTACATTCAATGGGGCTTCATATCATTATGATTATATCAAGTATCGGGATGGAAACAGTACATTCCAAGGAGATGGGCTTTATTTTACTGAAAAACTAATTTTGGGTTCTTAATTTTTCCTTAACATTAAATTCCTACAGGAACTACATTTTGTCCATAAGTGCTTCATCAGGACTCATCGCCCTCCTGTCTACTGGCTCCAAGTAGACCATGGCAGCTGTACCCCCTGGCTTTGTATCTATGGGTGGCCTGTGGTTTATGGAAAAGTAGCAGGGTGGTCAGGGTGGGAGACACAAGATGTTTTTACAGTCTGGTGTTTGAGGGTTTAAAAACCCAACAGAATGTAATTCATTATTTGTATATTGGCTTTTTTTGATACGTTGTTGAAATTAAATGAAAGGGAAACTCAGTACCAGGACATTTATTAAAAGGCAAAAAGTGTCTTGCAACGTGCTCTAATCACAAGAGGAGAAAATAACTTGTTTCCTTGATCTGTCAGAGGTCACAGTAACCTGGGCTGAGCTGTTATTATTTAAAATAGTAGCATGAAGTTAATAACCGGTTCTCTGTGTTCCAAGCACAGTATTACAACTTTTTTTGAACCATAAATATCAGAATGAATCTTCTTCCCAGAGGATTGAACAGAAAGAAGCTTTATGTTTATAAGTCTCTGAATTTGTGATTTGAAATAACACAAAGTTTAAAACATGGTTTCTCCAACTTGGGGAAGAAAAATTTGTGGAAAAGGTTGTGTTTTTTTTTTGGCAAAAAAAAAAACCAACCAAAGTAGTAACCTAAAAATAGTGCATCAGGCGTATGAGAGTTGTCCTACGGAGTTAAAGCACATACTGTTCAGCTGTATGGCTTTGGCCCTGTGTGGCCAGGGAGGTCAACTTGACCCTGCCATGTTCATTTGACTTATTAAGACACAGGGATCATTGTTTTCCTTGACCAAGGTCTCATACCCCAGAAAAGAATGTTAAGTAAGAGAGAACACCTCTTTCCTGAATATTGACATGTAAAAGACCAAAGTAATTTTTGTGATCTTAGTTCTGGAATTTTAAGAACTCTCTAAGGAATTTATAGCGGTTTTAGTGTTTGTCAACATTTTTCCCATTAGGACTTTAATAAATTTGACCCTTCAGTTCACAGGTCCCATCAGTTGTTAACAAAATATGATCTCTTCAGCCCTTGGGGGTCCAGCTGAGAACAGTCTCTTGCCATTTTTTACCAGTATGTGTACAGATACCATCATTTTCTATGTGTGCCATGACTTTAAAAAGTTCAGGAATTTCTTTAGCCTGTGTCACTTAAACAGAGAAACACAGATGATAACAGTTTCATATTCCTATTAGCTTTTGACCACATCCAGTAATTTCCTACAAGCAGTACCTCAAGGAAATATATTCCAAATCTTTCATTTCACTTCTAAATTTAAAATGAATGTTACAAATGTTATTAGTTTTGCTTTTCACTTGAAGAGATTCGCTGCAAGGTACAGTTAGGGTAACACATAAGAGGTTTTTTGTTTTTGTTTTGTTTTTTTAACTTCACTCTTGATAAAAAGCCAGTCAGTAGTTTGGTGGCATGGAGTTTATGTAGCAAATGCATTTGCTTATTTGACAAAATGATTTTTGGATAAGCCATCAGTGTCTACTATTTATTAGAGCTGTGGCAATAGCATTGTAAATTGCTGGTGAAAACTTGCCGCTAGATGGCAGTGCCTGTAGAGATGGGGAAAAAAATTGCCACCGTTGTTGGTATAGTACAGGTTAGATGAGTTGGTGAAATAGGGATAGCTCAGTAGAATTTCTCTTGAATAAACCAAAAATGTGTAGGACAATGCATAAGCAAAATTTGTTTTCTGTCCTGAATTTTTCCGAGAGCACTCTGTTTTTAATCTGATAATGTTTTCTAACTTTCTATACTGTTAATGTAAATTTCTGTGCATAAGATGATAAGGCATACTCACACAGTTCAACAGTTTTTGTTAAGGATTTACTATACCAGTACTTTACTCTTAAGAATTGCAAAACCTTTTCCCCTATGCTCTCCCCACCGTCTAAAACAGCTATGTGGCACATAGAATTATGATGCGTTCAGTCTGATTTAAGTAGTAAATATCTGCCATACAATTTTTATATTAAAAAGACCTCATACCCAACTGCAGTAAAGAAGAGATTCTGTTGTAATTGCGATTCAAGGCAATTAAATTCCTTTTTTCACACTTGTGATATGTAGAAGCTTAGTGTTACAACATTTTCCTATAACCTGTTTTTAATTTCCTCATTTACAACTTAATAAAAGTCTTGGATTGAAATTCTTTTTAGCCAGTAAAAATTCACTGGTTGTCATACTTGGTGTATTATTGCAACCTGGAAAGGATAATTTGAAACAAGTTTTGAAGTTAACTGAAATATGGAGGTTGAATTATACTCAAAATTCTTGTGAAAGTTCTTGTTTAATAAGTATGATTAAACTTTGCTTTTGAAAATTCATATTTTCCCTGGACTTCTTTATAAGAATCATGTGAATAAGTACATCATCTTTATTACATTATTTCACATTAATCATGGTTTTAATTTCCCACACATGTAAATATTGGTCAAATGTCTGTGAGGCATTGACAGGCATAGAGCAGTTACGCTAAAGAGCAGACATCAGGCCTCTGCCTGTGTGTGCCTGCTGTGCCTTCCTGCCCACCCACCCTGTTTCTTCATTTCCAGTGTGCATGCCAGTCACTGCTGTTCTGGAGACAGGAAAGAATGATACATACATGTGTACATGTATGGAGAAAACTAATTTACAGATAAATCTACTGGGGCTGTAAGAGATTACTCTCCCCTCCTTGGACTCCCAAGTAGGTGAGAATTGGATTAGGGGGTCTTTTGAGTGGTTAGTGTAGATTTTTAGGAAGATAGTTAAAGACTAACTTTTTGGCTGGGCGTGGTGGCTCACGCCTGTAATGCTAACACTCTGGTAGGCCGGGCGTGTGGATCGCTCAAGGTCAGGAGTTTGAAACCAGCCTGAGCAAGAGAGAGACCCCGTCTCTACTATAAATACAAAGAAATTAATTGGCCAACTAATATATATAGAAAGAAATTAATTGGCCAACTAATATATATAGAAAAAAATTAGCTGGGCATGGTGGCGAATGTCCGTAGTCCCAGCTACTTGGGAGGATGAGGCAGTAGGATTGCTTGAGCCCAGGAGTTTGAGGTTGCTGTGAGCTAGGCTGATGCCACGGCACTCACTCTAGCCTGGGCAACAAAGTGAGACTCTCAAAAAATAAAAAAAAAGAGCACTAGACTGGAACACAAAATACTTGGGTTCTGCCATTAACTAGCAGTGTGAGTTTGGGCAAGTTTTTTCATCTATCCAAGCCCACTTTCTTCATTTGTCAAAGAGGGATAGCTTTGCAGATGGCTAAGGTTCCTTCAAGCTCTGACTTCAGCCTCTCAATGTTCACACTCTTCATGAATGAGAAGTGACAGCTCTTACCGTTGGAAGCTAGGGTAGATTTCTAGACTGCATTTTTCCTCCCTGAGATTGTAGTATAGAGATGGCTACTACCCAGGTTACCCTTCAGAATGATGTGTTCTTTGCCAGGGAATTCTTTCCAGAGGAGAAAAGACACAATGAGACTGCATGGAAATTTTTCTTAAGGATGTAAGTGTGAAACGTATTATCTAACATATTTACCATAGCAGATGATTTGCATATAAAAACAGGCTGTCCCCACAACAAAGTGTTTATATTTGGTTTTGATTTGCAGGTTTTTTAAAGGGAATTTGAGAAGCTTTAACCTTAGTGCAAAGTATTCTAAAACCCAATGAGGAATATCTTTACTAGCTAATCATATTCTCCATTAATAAGAGCAAAAAGTTTGGATTGCAATCTGAGTCTCAGTCTTTTGATACTGATATTTCTGTTAGCTATTTAGTGCAGCTTAGCTACCAACATAATTTTTATTTAGATTATTGCCAGTTTTATGGCCTCATGTATTTTGTATGTATATATTTTATATATATGAAAAGTATATCTTTTATAATGAAAGATCAGATAAAAGCTATTATGAAATTGAATGCACAAAATGTTTTTATTACTCTAAGCAAATAAGTTAAATCGCATTTTCCATTAGACAGCACCTCAGCTCATTTATACATACAGTAGTTCACTGGCTTGAGTACACAATGAACAACTGAAAAAATAATCCATTTCCATCATTAATCTGATACTCTTGGGCAAAAAGTCCAAACTCAGTATTAGAATACAGGTAGTAGTAATCAAAAAGAATTTTTTGATGCCTCCCACTAACATTTTAAGATCAGAACTTAACCTTGAAATACATTCTGGACATAGTAACAGAAACAGTAACAGAAAATAGCATTTTAAAATGATATCATATTCTGTAAATCTCAAAGTGATTTCTATATGGGGAACCTGCTGACCAGAAAATTAAATTAGAATTTTCTACATCCTCATATGTCCAAATAGAGTTAAAGGACCATCCCCATCCAAAAGAAAGAGAAGCATGTTTTTTCCCTTTTTACAGATACCAACACTTATGGTATGTTCTCATAATTTTTCAGAAGTGGGATAGTAACGAGGATAAGTAGCTAGTAGTGGTAGGGCTAGATATACCTCAGATTTTGAGTGCAATAAGGATAAGCCCCTTTAATCCATGCAAAAGAACTTTCATGCATATAGTTTAGTGCATATAATATGATTATAGAATCAGGAAGTTCTTTAGTATTTTGTTTTTTACTGGGCAAGGTAATTCACCCAGCATATTCTGAGTAGTGACATAGCATTTTTCAGAAAGCCTATGATTTGCTTTCGTGTTAATAACTCCTCAAAAATACTAAACATTATATTGTAAAGTCCCAGTGCTAATTAAACTGAACATTTGCCTTTCTAGGTATTTTACAGGTTTACTTACAAAACTCAGAATATGTATATTTATTTTTAAAGCTCAAATATTGACACTTGCAGAAGTTATGCCTATAAGCAGTTGAACAAATAAAGCAGGTTTTAATAAAATGTAAAAAAAAGACACTTAATTGCAGATACATTGAATTTTATTCAAAGCTAAGTTCTCATAGCTCACAGTGTAACCCTTTCATAAATTATCCATAATGTCTCTAGTTCATGATTCATGATCCCTTTACCCTCTTTATATGTAAATGGATAATATTATTAGAATCCTAATAGACACGCTGGATAAATTGTTGTACAGGGCCATTTTGGGGCCAAGCAACAGTAAATATCTGAAAGGTAATAAAGCAAATACCTAGAAATTTTAGTTTTGAATGACAAGCAAAACGAAACTTGCTAATATGAATGTGAAGATAGGAAAAAAATGTAATTTGTTTTTGTTTATTCTCCCAAGCAAGACTTCTCAGTGATGATACCTATTTCTTATGCATTCAAATTCATCTGTGGCTTTTGTTCTTTTGAAAAAATATATCTGTACAGCCTTCTTTAAGTTACCAAATTCCTGAAAGTAATACATCTTTTCCCCCCATATTCTCTCCATTGCATAAGCATGAGGTGTACAGAGCAATGCATGAATAGGTGATTCCAGTCCAAAGTAAGAAAATAGAACGGATTTTCTTGGTTGTGAGTTTTCAGATTTGCACAGTGGTAGCAACAGCAGATACCTCAGAGAATCCAGGGACACTAGAGGTTGAGCAGCAGGCTGCTAAGTGATTCAAAAGACTGGCTAGTAACACTGTTCTGTACTGGGTGCAGGCCGCTATTTTAACCATGCAGCTTCTGTGGCTCATGCATTGCCTTATGATCTGTAGTCCTTTTTGCTGTAGGGCTTGTTGCGTAATATGTTATCAATCTCATTTACCACATGCGATGTCATCTTTGGGAGAACCTGAAAGCAAGAGAAGTACAAAGGATGTGGTTAGTACTGTTGGTCATTTGTTGTTGGTTTGTGCTCTATATTAAGCAAAGTCATCTAGACTTGTATACGTTCATAAGCCACAGCTGGAATGTAAACTCCTTGAGGTCAGGAGCCTTGTTTGCTGACTGCGTAAATGAAGGCATCAAGTATAAGTGGAGGCTCATAGGAATATAATATAAGCCACATTTGTAATTTTAAATCTTCTAGTGGCTACCTTAAAGAGATAAAAAGAAACAAGTGAAATTAATACATGTTTTTACTTATTATATCCAAAGCATCATTTCAACATGTAATCAGTATAGAAAATGAGATGTTTTACATATTTTTTTTGTACTAGGCTTTCAAATCTTACGAACATTTTATACTTCACATTTCCATTTGGACTAACCATCTTTTATGCACTCAGTAGCAACATGTGCATGAAGATGCATGAAGACTAGAAGTTATGGTGTAGACAGCACCGGTCTAGAGACTAAGTAGAGATTCATTTGACTGGTGGTCAGAACTTCAGTGAAGGATGGCCAGGGTTTGACAGGGATCCCAGGTAGATGAAATAGCATGAAAAAGTGAAATGGAGAGACATACAAGTATAGAATGAGTAGTGGAGGTGTGGGCATGGTAAGAACAGGGGATAGGGAAATTGGGATAAAGAGTGGAAAGTCTTCATGATCATGTTATCTTCCCTGCCAGGTGAGTATAAGAATGGAAAGTCTTGAGCACCATTTTATGGAGTTGGAACTTTATTCTGTAGGCGTGGGGAACCTCTCAGGACTTCTGATCTGGGAGTAATGCCATTAGACACCTGGAGGTAATTTGAGGGATGAGTTGGAGGAGGTTGGGGAACACAGATGTTAGATGTGTATTGCAATCTAGGCCAGAGGAAAAAAGGGCCTTAACTAGGCTAGAGGCAATGGAGTGGGAAAGAAGAGTGAATCTGGGAGACATTTTGGAGGATGGTGGTGGTTTCAAGACTGAGTGGCTAGAAGGATATTGGTGTAAATTATTGAGACTGGAAACTAAAGGAGAAGTAGTTTGGGGGATAAGAAATTTGGAGTAGGGGGTGTTGCATGTAACACATGAACTGCCACGTGAGCTGTATTTAAGTCACACTAGTTTTGAGCCCGGGGCCTTATGAAGCGTGTGTAACTCACGTCTCTTCACCTTGGGAGCCACAAGAACTACTTTTCAAGTTGCATATAACTCACACACAGGAAACAAAGATAAAACATTTTTCATTAAATTAGAAAGGATCATTTTGTTTTCAATGTTTTTATTCTATTTTTGTAATAAAACACCGGGGCCCCAAGGAAAAATTTATTTTCCTGGTGTGGCAGTCAGTATGTCAAGGTGCCTGTAGGATATCCGTGTGGAAATGACTTGTTGGACGCTGAAGTGCAGCTGTGGACTTTAGTGGTTGCAGGAACACTGGAGTAGAGGATTTTCGAGTCATTTCCAGGAACATGCTAATTGAAGCCCCCGGGGAAAAGATGAGCTCATCCAGGGCTAGTTCTGAGAAGTAGGCCAAGGGCACGCATTACCCTGTGAGACAAGGGACAAAGGCAGACTTTCATGCTGGAATGGCCTAACCCTATGTGGAGACTGTGGTGAAATACAGTTCTGACGACCAGTTCTGAGGTTTCAGCCTCACCCTTCCTTTGCTGCAATCGTGTTGGCCAAAGTGACCTTGTCTCCACTCAGTTGCTATCCTCAGAAGCCTTAGGCATTGGCAGAACAGTAGAGCTACTCAGCCTGGGAAACTTTTGCCCGGTTAACATTTTTTTATCCGAAGCTAAAGAAGGAATTTTATTTCCCACTAGCTCTGGAGTCTCAGGGTTGAAACGGCTAATGTGTTATTTAAAGTGAGATTGTGACAATGAGATTGAAATCTAGAAATTGGATTTGTTGGAGGTTTTGTATTAGAATTCACTGGGTTAGCTATGTGAGGAGAAAAATTCTTCATTCATTATACCAAAATAAATCTATTATAGAAAAGAGATTTAAACATCAAAATGATGATACCATAAAGTACCATAAAGTACTCGAATAGAAAAATAGTGTTGCAAGACCAAAACTTTCAAGAGAAGCTGTACTACTAGAATTTTATATGAAATCACCCAGTTTTTTAATGTGGATAACTACTTTAAAACATTTTAAGCTACTACAGATTAAACAAAACACTCCATAGGCTACCCATTTTGCAAACTTGGTGTGATATTGCCAGGAATAATTGGTGGGGTAAGGGGCATCTGGCTGGTGTTGCCAGGGCTGGCAGGGTATTAGGGAAGTCCTCCTGGGATTGGGTCACTATTGATCTGGACTTTGGGGACAGTAGGATTTTGCCAGCCTGGGGTAGTGGTCACTTTGCAGGCAGAGGACCACTGTCACATCTGGGGATCTGAGCGTGTGTGGTGGCTAGAGATTAGGGTTCTGGAGAGGGGGATGGGGGCCGTGAGGCCTGGATGTGGCAGGCCTGACTGCCGAGGAGCCTGACTGCTGACTTCCCTGAGTGGGTGACACAGTGGGAGCCTCAGAAAGGGGGTAAGGCCGATGGTGGGGGGAGGCAATTCTGTCTACCTTTTAGGCAGAAGTGAGGAACATGGGGACGTGTGTAGGTGATAGTGGGCTGCCAACAGCTGTGGTTTCTCCTCTGTAGTCTCTCCCACCTGTTGAGGCTCTGATTTATATATACTCTGATTTTTGCACACCTAGGCACATTGCATCCTTTGGAGCAGCTGCCTTCTCAGCCTACTAGAAATTTCCTTTCCTTATACCAGCTGGCATTGCATGCTTTCCATCCTTCTGCAGACAATCCCACCACTGCTGGGCACTTCCAGCCACCCAGTCTGCTTTTAGCCACATCACGGGGCCCAATCACAGCTTGTCTAGGGTGGACTTTTCACTGCTGGGTGCGGGAGGTGGAGTAGAAAGTGGGAGGGTTGGCAAGCCCCCATGGTAGCAGCCTTGCTGCTTGGATAGTATTCCTTTTAGGATGGATAACAGCCTCATCCTGTTACCAGCCAGAGCCTTACTAGGGAGGAAACAGTTGAGGAAGAAAATTGACTAAAGAGTTTTCCTCTGAAATGTGTCCCCTCCCCCTCAGCCGCCTGGCATACCCCCCCAGTCTTTAAAGCTCAGCCCAGGAGTTACCTGTTTGTGCCATCCCCAGGCAGTATGCCCTCCTCCTGGTACGGCAGTGATCTCCCTGTATTAACCCTTGGCACTCAGATGTCGAGTATGACTCGACATGGTTAGCAAAAATTACAGAGATTAAAATTACTCTTTGAATGTATCAGTAATTTGAAATATAAAAATCCAATAAATAAGTTTGGATAATAAATCCAAATAAATAAGTTTGTATGAAAAGAAACTCCAGTTTTTTATTCTACTGACGCGCTTTGTAAAATGTGGGGTATTTAAAAAATTAAATCCCGAGTAGAATAAAGGAATCAAGAAAAAAGCAAGGGAGTGCAAAGGGTTAATACAGTAGGAATCCTTAATTCCTTCCTCTTCCTGCCAAACCATGTTGTCTCTCTCTCCAAAACCTGTGGAATCTGTCCTGTTCTCTCCACCTCTGAGGCCACCGGCCTAGTCCAAGCCACCATCACATCTTGCCTGGATCACTGCCCTTGCCCTTCATTCTACTTTCCACATGGCAGCCACAGTGATCTTTAAACATTCAAATAGGAACATGGCATGGCCCTCCTCCTAACATCCTCCAAAGGATTCCTCTTACGTAGAGTAAAGCCTGACCCCTCTGGTGTCCTGTGAGATCCTGCCCCTGCCTGCCTCTCTGCTTCAGTGCATCTGCTGTCTGTCCCCTTTGCTCACCACATGTTGGCCACACTGGCCTGAGGCTGGAAGTTCCTTCCCCTCTCAGGGCCTTTGCACTGCTCTTCCCTGTGCCTGGAATGTGCTTTCCTTCCTCCCACACTGTGTGAAGGCACGTGAATAATTGTGAGGGCCTCGGAATAAACATGTTCCGGGGGCCTTTTGCAAGGATGTTATTTAAAATAGGCCCGCCCATTCTCAATTAGTCTATTACAACATCCTATTTATTTACTTAATAGCGCTTTTGACCATCTGAAATTATTTTGTATGTTTGTTTCTACTGAAATGTAAACCCCTTGAAGGTTGAATGATGTCTTTCTTGTTTCCTATGGTATCTCCAGTGCCTGGTACATACTAGGCACTCAAACAAAGGTCTGCTGAATGAATTAAGGGATAGATTTCTTTCACTTTTTCTCAGCCAGCCCATGAGCTTTTTGAAATCAGGGTCTTGTTCTTACTCATCTTAGTACTCCCACTGCCTCGCATGGTGCAGCCATGGAATAGGGCTCCATAAATATTGGTGGAATTGAAATCACTGGATTGAATTTCAGTTCTTTTGTGTACTAACTCTTCCCTCTCTCCTCCTCATTACTGTGTAGCCTTATCCTTTCCCAGAGCATAAGTGAAAATCAGAGAAAGTGGGGTGGCATTCATAAAAGGGGCTTGGCACACAGTAGGTCGGCAATCAATGTTTGTGGAAAGAAAAAGTGAATAAATGATGTATATATATTGTCCAAAGACTATTTGTGTATTGTCCAAAGACTGCGTTTCATGGGAGTTATTAAGCAGGCATTTATGGTCAGGCTGGGGGAGTCAGTTGCCAGGTGTAGCACTGGAATGCACTGTCTCACGGAAACAAACCGTCCTGAGAAGTGAGCTTTGGGGACATTGCCTGTTAATATCTGGATCCATCTACTGTGAAAATTTTCTGTTGCTTCTTAGGCTTTTGTTCCCCCTCGCCTCACACCCATCCTGAAGGACAGAGGTGGGGAGAGATGGGACACTGCTTGGAGATATCTTCAAAGGCACTATGACATTCCCTGGAGTTTGTTGGAAAGGGCAGCAGTACTTGCCTGAATGGCACCAAGGTTTTCAATGAGCTGTTCAGGAGAAGATGATCCCAGGAGCACAGAACTCACACCTTCATTTCTCAGGCACCACGCTGGGAAGAAAGAACACTGGGTCAGGGTGTCAAAGCACTTCTCATTATTGATTAGCTTCTAAACACCAGCTACAGCTGTTTGTGGCAGCCAAAGTTTTTTAACTCTTTGTGGAGGATGCAGTGTTTTCTAGGATTAAAAACCTGAGCAGCGCCCCCTGTTGTGTAAAAAATTTGATAGAATCTGTGCATTTGAATTGTGGGTTTGGGTAGATCCAGTCAAAGTCCATATCTTGTAAAGATTTCCCCTCCAGAAAGACAATATTATTCTATCTCTTTTAGAGCTAAATTTAATACTCACTTTCATGTTACCACCTAAAACCTACATTTATGACTGTGCAGAATGTGTGTTTCTCTGAGTATATTACTCTTACCACACTCTCTGGGTAAGAGTGGGCAGAATTTCAGGTCTGGCATGTCTAATTCTTTGCAGAAACATCATTATCATCATTGTTGTCATTACCACCCTTAACACTTTACATATGTAATTTCCCTTTCCTCAACAAGTTTGTAAGGTATGTATTAATACACCCATTTTACAGATGAAAAAATTGTTATTAGATTAAGTAACTTGCATAGGGCCAAATAGCTATGTTTTACTGTACTTGTTAAAGCTGTAGGGATGCTATTCATAATTAATCACATTAAATATATTCTTTGATTTTTTTTTTCTGAAGAAAGGATTAAAGTGATAGTCATCAGTCATACATATACTTAGGTACATGACATTACCCCCCTCTAAAACCACCTTCCATTTCCATCTTTCTGTGACTGTTAACTGCAACAAACATTTCCTTGCCTTCCAACCTCAGAAGGGTCAAGCTACCAACAAATATTCTATTCAATTATTTTATTTGCATAGACCTTATCTTGAGCTTTTTATATTATGGGTTTACTGTATCTGATATGTCCCAATTCCTGCTATTTCTTAATCCTGAGGAATTTTTTTCTAAAATCAGCACACATTTTATTCCTTTCTCACAGCTACCACATGAATTCTTTTATCTTCTATTTCTTCATTTATAAGTGGAAATAATAATAGCAAATCTTCCATTAACATCTGTAAGATAGGGCTAGTAACAGTACACACTTCATAGGATTGTTTCGATCCTATGAAGACAAGACCATGAGCACGGGGTGCTTATCAAAGAGGCTAGAAAATATCCCAGCAAGGGAACTGGAAGTCTAAATGCTTTTCTGTCCTATACGTAGCCTCTGGCCACATGTGGCTATTGAGCATGCAAGGTGTGTCTAGCCTGAATTGACATGTGCTGTACATGTAAAATATATCCTGGGTTTTGAAGACTTAGTAGAAAGAAAAAGAGGGTAAATTATCTCAAAAATTTTTCATATTTATTACATGTTGAAATTATATTTTGGCCATATTGGGTTAAATAAAATCTGTTATTAAAATTGATTTCACCTGTTTTAAAAATTTTTTAATGTGGCCACTAGAAAATGTAAAATTAAATACAGTTATGTGTTGCTTAATGACAGGGATACATTCTGCAAAATGCATTGTTAGGTGATTTTGTCATTGTGTGAACATCATAGAGTATACTGACACAAACCTGGATGGTATAGCTTACTATCCACCTAGGTTCTACGGTATAGCCTATTGCTCCTGGGCCATAATCCTAGACAGTGTTACTGTACTGAATACTGCAGGTAGTTGTAATCCATGGATGGTATTTTGTGTGTCTAAACACATATCTGAACATAAAAAAAGTACAGTAAAAATATGGCATAGAAGACAAAAAACGGTACACCTGTATAGGGCACTCACCACAAATGGAGCTTGCAGGACTGGATGTTGCTCTGGGTGAGTCAGTGAGCGAGTGGTGGGTGGATGTGAAGGCCTAGGATGTTACTATGCGCTATTCTAGACTTTATAAACACTGTTTACTTAGGCTACACTAAATTTATAAAAAACATTTTCTTTCTTCTATAATAAATTAACCTGGCTGACTGTAACTTTTTTTGCTTTATAAACTTTTGAATTTTTAAAAAGCTTTTTGGCTTTTATAATAACACTTAGCTTAAAACAACAAATGCATTGTACAACTATATAAAAATATTTAAAAGTTATTTTAAACTTTTAAAACTTTCTTGTTAAAAACTACGACACAAACACACACGTTAGCCTAGGCCTGCACAGAGTTAGGATCGATATCACTGCGTTCCACCTCCACATCCTGTCCCACTAGTAGTTCTTCAGGCATAATAACATGCATGGAGCTGCCATCTCCAGTGATACCAATGCCTTCTGTAACACCTCTTGAAGGACCTGCCTGAGCCTGTTTTATGGTTAACTTTTTTTTTTTAATAAGTAGGAGTACACTCTAAAATAATGGCAAAAAGTATAGTAAATACATAAACCAGTAGCATAGTTGTTCGTTATCATTGTCAAGTATTTTGAACCATATGTAATTGTATGTGCTACACTTTTGCATTTCTGGCAGCACATCAGGTTTTCTGCACCAGCATCACCACAAACGTGTGAGTAATGCATTGTGCTAGGACTTCAATATGAATGCAATGTCACTAGGCAACAGGAATTTTTCAGCTGCATTACAATTTTATGGAGCCTCCAATGTATATGTGGTCTATCATTTGTGCAGCCCATGACTATATGTGGTTCACACCATCCTTCTCCTGAACAGTGTAGTGCACATAGTTTTCATTTGTTACCGGTGACTGTGAGCTTTGGACTCCACAATGTTTGAAGAGCAATTTTTATGGCCCTCATGGAGCTTCAGGGTGAAGTGACTCCTCTAGGATTGACTTTCTGGGTGGCTGTAGCCTTGGTGTCTGTTACAACCCTTTATCTCAGCCTCTCACCAACCCCGGCTTAGCTCCAACACAGATAGAAACTTGAGCCAGAAGAAATGGATGTCACTATACAATTCACTCCAGATACTTGGGAGGGTGTGTGCATTATCACTGACATGTTCTCATTTAAACTCTTATAAGAGAGATGGGAAGGAAGTAAGAAAAGTCTTTAAGCATGTAAAACAATTCCGGGGAACCATAAATAATTCACTTTATATAGTATTTACTAGAAAGTTATGCTTCAGAGATCAGTCTATCCCTACAATAGACATTTTATCATGATAGAGGTGTGGGTCAGCAATAGAAAACTATATTTTCTGTGATCTCAGCAGAAGTTCCCCCTCCCTTAGTAGTTTCCTTACCAACGGCTAGCTGAGGTAGTGTGCATCCCAGACGCTCAGCAATTGGGGAAAGGTCTTTCAGCTTGTTTTGCTGTTTTCTCCCTTCTTCACTTACAATTCTTTCCTTCAACCACTGGTAGCACTACAGATAAGAATAACATTTAAATGTTAATGTCCTGTAAAGGTTTGATGTGAAAGATTGTTAATTCAATAAAATAGACGAACCTCATGGTGAATTCCTGAATCTTCTTGACTTTGACCTATGTGTTGCAGTGATAAGATGCCTATGTCATCATGCAAAGAAATGTTCCTTGTGGGCCTTCCCCTTATTTATTGGTTCAAAACATATTGATTTTGCCTAATATTCACCATTAAAATTGATCAACATGTACAAAGTTTGTTAAAACCCAGGCCCTGACATATAAGCAATTGTATCTTAGTCTTCCAAGTGGAGGAAATGATATTTCTTATTGGGATAGCCCAATTTTAGAATGTAGAAAAAAAAAAAGTATTTACATTTACCAAGGTCTATTATGTTTCCTTTTGTTGAGAAAGCTGAGCACCAAGCTTTCTGCTCAAAGAAAATCATTATCTTATATTCTTGTTACAACTATCTTTCTCCCTCTTGCTTTCAGTTCACTCCTAATCTCTTATTCTTCTTCTAATGGGGCTTCATTGTTAGCTTTCTCAGCTTCTTCCTAGAAGCAGACGTGGTACAACTGATAGGTACCTAGTACATTTTTAAAATTTTAGAGTGGACACTTTCCCAAATGTGTATTATTACCTATTATACAATTATTGGAACTTAAAAAAATAAGGAGGCTCAAAGCAGGAAACTATTCTCTAGAACCTATGCAGAGATTGACCTTGATCTGTAGACTATAAAGTGAGACTAATTTCCTCAATATAAAGAGAAAAATCTTTCATAGCTTCTTGATGCCCTGCTTTCCAGAAGTACATATGTTACTATGAAACATGGAACAATTGACTCTTCCGTATAAGGCAAGTACTAAACAGCAACACCCAAGGGAAAAGAATATTTGTAAGAATGTTAGTCGGTCTTAGTGAAAATAATAATAAAAAAAGTAGCCCTGTGTGGCGATGCAGACTTTCTCTGCTGCGTGTAACTGCGACTTCATTGCCATCACAGATCTTTATCTTCCCAAAGGCCGTAGAAAGCCCCACAACAGTCAGTCTTGAGCATAGACACTCCACCCACATGATTTCAATAGGCTGTTTGCCTTTGTTTACTGAGTATTTTTTCCATCATTCTAAGACAATATTTCCAAAGAAAAGGGTAACCACGTTGTGTTTTATTATGATTTTTGGAATGATTTTGCAGATGTGAAAAAGAGAAGGGCAAGCCGTCCCAGTTGTGTTTTCCTCCTAGTTCTCAAAGGCTTGTGGTCTGGCTCTTAATTTGGGAGTTTGCTTGGGGAAATGACCAAGAGTTTTCCCAGCCTCAGCTCCAGGAAGCCTAGTCTTCTTCCAGAGAAAGAGTGGCCTGGAACATCTCTCCAGATGTTGGTGCCAGTTATGAACAACAAACACTGCCATCGGGGCCCAGGCAGCTTTCCTAGACCAGGGTGCTGGCTACGTCAGAGAGTCCCTGAACTTACCCTTCTCTTTTAGTTCTCCTTGTACAGGTCTTTCACCTCTTTGGTTAAATATATTCCTAGGTATTTTATTTTCTTTGTTGCTCTTGTGAAAGGCATTGAGTATATGATTGGATTCTCACCTTGACTGTTGGTGTATAGGAATGCTACTGATTTGTGTTCATTGTTTTTGTAACCTGACACTTTGTTGAATTTATTTATCAAATCCAGGAGTCTCTTGTCAGAATGTTTGAGGCTTTCTAGATATAAGATCATATCGTCAGCAAAGAATGATAGTTTGACTTCTTCTTTCCCCATATGGATACACTTCACTTCCTTCTCTTGCCTGATTTCTCTGGTTAGCACTTCCAGCACTATGTTGAACAAAAGTGGTGACAGTGGGCAACCTTGTCGGTTCCAGCTGTAAGTAGGAATGCTTTCAATTTTTCCCCATTCAATATGATGTTGGCTTTGGGTTTGTCATATATGGCTTTTATAATATTGAGGTATTTTCCATCTATGCCTATTTTGTTAAGAGTTTCTTATCATAAAAGAAGAAGAAAAGGTGAGCCCCACTGTCTGTGGAAGCCTCAGTGTGGTGGCTCAATTGTCTCTCTCGGTAACCATGGGTAGGGGAGGAAAGAAGTTTGTTTGGAGGAGTGCTAGCACTCTAGCAGTCTCCTACCCTCTCTCCAGGAGGCAGTCCATCCAGAATGTCCAGGCTCTGGAGTCACATATATCACCCAGGACCCACTGGACCCCTGTGGCTTCTGCAGTCTGGGCAAAAGTTGGGAAATGGCTGTGTGGGAATGAGAGGACAAAGCCTGAGGAGTTCAAGCCCCCTGGAGAGGACAAAGGTGCATGGTGGGTAGAGAAGCAACATGGTGCCTGCCATTCTGGCTTGGGTCTGTGGGGGTGGAAAGTGCCACAGGGGGGCTAAGAGCTTGGTGTCCTGTCCACAAGAAGTTCCCAGCTCACTGGTGGCAGCAGCCTCTGGACTCGTGTGGGCAGAAATCACCGACTGTCAGAGATGAGAGAGAGAAGGAAACAAACTGCTCCACCTACCCTTCTCGCTGGACTCCAAGCCTCTTGGGGCTTGATCTTTACTGATACCTTGCTCCTTGTTCTGCACTGAAACTTCTTCCCATGGAGTCTCCCAAAGACTCTGGCACCACTCCTTCAGACCCATATTCCATCTATGTTTGTCTGTTTGTTTTTTCTTTCATCTAAAACTTCTCCTTCTTACTGAGATGCTCTGGCAGCTGGGTGTCAGCCGTCTTGCCCAGAACTATCCAATATCCTTATTTTCTTAATGTGAACACTTAGAGTACTTGGACCACCCCTCTCCCCCAACTTTGGTTGACCAAGGTGTGCATGCTTCTTATTTTCCTTTTTTTTCCTTATTTTTCCTTATTTGACAAAGGGGTACATATGTTTATAATTTTTCTAGAAAGCATTTTGCTAACAACAGGGAAGCATTGTCAGTACATTTTATTGCACTATTCATTTCTACTTAAAATTTCTGATTAAAAACTACACACCTGGTCTCTCAGTCAGATTGCACTAATCTTCTGTTATGGCTCATTGAATTCATTCAACTAACATTTACTGAGTACCTATTATGTTTCAGGCTCTGTGATGAGTTAGATGAGAAAGTTTCAGTTCCTGTCTTGGAGGTGTTCACCAATCATTATGTAGTAACTGGAGAAGTGTTTTGTAGTTGGGGTGGCTCCCCCTTCAAAGATTTCATCAAAAGCCATGTCTGTACTGCCATCTTATGGAAAATACCCCAACAAAGTGGTGCATGGCCTGAGCGGAGCATAGTACCTCAAACTGTTGGCCACCGTCATTGGTCTCATGGGTCAGTGCATGACCCAAGCTTGGCCCATCTTTTCTGGATTGAAGCTGGTAAAGAAAAGATCTCTTTTCTCTCAGGTTACATGCCTTTAAGAATGTAAGCCTGCAATCACCAGCTTTCTTGCTTCTGGCCTCATAGAGAAGACTCATTTTATTATAAGAAAGTGACGCCCACATACAGAGAGCAAAAGAAGAGATGGATGGTGCTGACAACGTTCAAGTCCAAGGGTGGAGTCACTGCGGAGGCCAGCCCCACTCCATCCTTCCAAGGATTGTCTATGTGAACCAATAGAACCCTTCTTTGATTAGGTTAGCTTCATTGAGTTCTGTTACTTGTAACCAGGGAATTCTAAGACTCTATAAGTGTCCATGAACACTCCAAGTGTTTATGGAACAATAGAGAAACTGCCAAAACTCAGTTTTATAAAGTTAGGGCAGTATTCACAGAGGTGAAGACAGAGGTGATTCACAGAGGTGAAGAGGTGAAGCTTTGTCTTTAGAGATGAGGAGGGGTTCCATAGGAGGATGATAAAAGGATGTTTCTGGGAGGCAAAGGAGAGTACAGTGTATTTAGGTAGAAAACGAAGTAGTATGATATTGAGAGAGACAAGAATGGAAGAGTTGGCACAGCTTAAATCCAAAGGGGATTTCCTTGAATGCTCTGTTGTGGAGTTTGGGTTTTGTCCTATAAGCAATGATTGGGAAGTCACTAAAGGATTTTAAGCAGGGTTATGATATGGTCAGATTAATATTTTATAACAATAACTGGTTCACAATGGGGGTTATTAAGAAAAGGGAAGGAAATTAGAGGGTCCAGATAGGAGGCTACTGCACAGTAAACCTGGTAAGAAATGATGAAGATCTGCAAAAGGGCTCTGAAGGGATGGACCAGGGGTCCTCAAACTTTTTAAATAGGGAGCCAGTTCACTGTCCCTCAGACCGTTGGAGGGCCCTTGGCGAGTACGGCACACATTCCACACATAGTGCACTGTGGGCCCGGGATGAGTCGGCTGCTAAGCAGGATAGGCAGCGGTGGCAAAAACACCCAGCGGGCAGCATGTGGCCCATGGGCCGTAGTTTGAGAATGCTTGGGATGGACCTTAGAGTCAGGATGTGGTCTGGAGGATTTGGTGTCTTGTTCATGAGAGGAAGGAAAGGAGGCCATGGGAGAAAGTGCCTTGGCTTCTGACTGACATGACCAGATGGATGGGTGGAGGCACTGTTAACCAAGAAGGTTCTGGGGATGAAGATAGATCCCATTAGTATGACTGATGCCCATGGGACATCTGCTTGGGGATGTCTAGTAGACAAGAAGAAATAGTGGTGTGCTGCTCAGCAGTGAAGTCAGAGCTGATGATACAAATTTATAAGTCATTGTTAGAGTGGTGAGGCCAGATGAGGAGGCCTAGAAAATTCCTGGGGTAGTATTACTTCCTAAAAAAGCCCTTGATAAGTATTTTTCATACTGAGTTAATTTATCCATCAATTGCAGGACAATACTTACAATAGACACAAAATATCAACATCTTAATTTTAGTGGTATAACAATGGTCAGTGGGAAACACAATCCATATTCTATTTTAGGGGAAGGTGAACATTGCCAACTCATTTATCTGTTTGCCCAGCTATTTATCTTTTTTATTATTATTTTTAATAGCATTCTCATTCACTTCTAAGGTTGCTTTGATATTTGTCTCCTTTATTTTTAGTTTTTTGCTCTGCTAACTCTGTGTAAGTGGGTTTCCTAAGTGCACATATATTTCTCCAAAAACACTCAGGTGGATAATTTAGAGCCTTGAGAGTCTGCAGAGCTCTGAAGAAGCATGCCTTGTGATCAGTTGAGAGCTCTTTCATCTGTTGAGAGCTCTTAATGTTTATTGTTAAGGATGTTCCAGTAGATACTGAGTTGACTCTATAAAAATCAACAATAGAAATATTTCCCAAGCTGCTTTTCTGCTTTTGGGCTGAGCCATCTTCAAACAATTTGTGTGTGTGTGTGTGTGTCGGTCTGTCTCTCCCCTTTTCTCTCTCTCTCTCTCTCTCTCTCTCTCTCCTTTTGCCAGTGGATTTGTGAAAGCTTTTTCAGCTGTTTGCAAGCTTTTTCCAGTGATGGAGGTTAAACAATCATACACTCCAACTGTAGTATAGCTACTTCTTCCTCCTTTAAAAACCTGGGTTTGAAGGGAAACATATATGACTTTGGGAGAGATAATTAACTGAGAGCCAGGAGACCTGTGTGCTAATATCAACTTTATCTTTTATGAGTTTATAGTTTTGGATTATTATTTAACGTCTTTGTGCTTTAGTTTTTGCATCTGGAAAAGGTCTACCCTGTTATAAGGCTAGTATGAGAACAAACACCTGGCATATATGGAAGTGCTTTGCATCTTTCAGCAAGCCTCTGAAAGACTACATGGCAATATGCTTAGCTACAACTGACTAAAAGCTACTTGTATCCATTTCTCTTTGTGAGGCTAAAAAAAATGAGATAAATGAAGACACTTAGCCCAGTGCTTGGCTCATAGTGGGTGCTCAGTAAAATTGCAATTCTCAATGCTTCCCTTTCTCCATCTCTTCGTTCTTCGCTCCCTTCTTGCCTTCCTTCTTTTATACCTACTTACCTTAAGATGCTTTTAGTTTGTTTTTGCTGACTTGTTTAGACTTGGTTCAGAACTATTTTCAGGAGCAAGACCTTATTTAATATTCTGGGATAATTGGCTTTTTTTTGTGATAATACAAAACCAGATATAGGACCATGTCAACATGCACTAGGGGATATTTATGTTGATTATTCTAGAGAACAAACAAGCTAACAGCTCAACTATTACAGGCAAAAAGCAAAGTGAAAGCCCTAAATCCTTGAGAAGATTCTGAGTAGGGAAGCCCATGATGGTCACAGCCACATTGATTAAAGGGTGGGTGGTTTGGACTTGACTTAAGCTGTTTTCCTGATAACTTAGTGCTGATAGAGACAAGAGGCTGTGTCAGACTTATGCTTCCTCACAGGAGGACTTTGGCTTGTCTGAATTTTAAAAAATGCCTTTATTCTCTCTCCCTTGACATTGCAGAGTAATTTGTAATTCTGATGTTCTTGCACATTCTCTCAAGTTTTTAAAAACAGGCATGTTGTTATTAGTAAGGAGAGATGTTTGGAGTACTCTCCAATAAATTAGTCATCAAGATATCCTGAATGGAGGTAACTTTGTAGATGTCCTGAGTATCTTTATGCTTCAGAGCAGAATTTCAACTGCAAAACTTAGGCCAGAGTTGATCTCTGCAAACGCCAGGCATAAAGCCTTAGTGACCGAGGTTTTGCTGTGTATCTGTGTGTGTGTCTCCTGAGACCCTCCGTCCTTACCCACGCGGCCCTGCCCCCAACATACAACAAAAAGTGTCAATCGACCTCAAGCCATGCTCAACTACAGCTGTTTGCCTCATATGGATTAAGCCTCTATGGCTTAAATTTTGTTTTGTCAAGAAAAGGAAGATTCTCTTACACAGAAAAGGATTTTACATTTTGTCAGTTTCAAACAAAGGATGGAATTCTCTCTTTAATATAAGCAATATGGAGATACCTTAAAACGATACAAGTGAATCTACCATTTGATCCAGCAATCCCATTGCTAGGCATCTACCCAAAAGACCCAATGACACTCTACAAAAAAGACACCTGCACCCGAATGTTTATAGCAGCACAATTCATAATTGCAAGGCTGTGCAACCGCCCAAGTGCCCATCAATCCAAGAATGGATTAATAAAATGTGGTATATGTATACCAGGGAGTATTATTCAGCTCTAAGAAACAACGGTGATATAGCACATCTTATATTTTCCTGGTTAGAGCTGGAACCCATACTATTAAGTGAAGTTTCCCAAGAACGGAAAAACAAGCACCACATATACTCACCAGCAAACTGGTATTAACTGAGCAGCACCTAAGTGGACACATAGGGACTACAGTAATAGGGTATTGGGCAGGTGGGAGGGGGGCAGGTATATACATATATAATGAGTGAGATGTGTACCATCTGGGGGATGGTCATACTGGAAACTCAGACTTGTGGGGGGAGGAGGGAAAGGGCATTTTTTGAAACCTTAAAATTTGTACCCCCATAATAATGCCGCAAAAAAATAAAAAAAGAATAAATGGCAGTGTAGAGATTTGAGCCCTGTAAGTCCAACCAAGTCATTGGGCACTTTCCCCCCGTCCCGGGAGGAAGAGAGTTTTCTACATAGGCAGATCACGAAGGGCTGACTGATGCGTGGCTAGGAACAGAGACCTCCAGAAGGCCCAGGGGAGCCTGCTGGAGGCCACTGCCCAGCCAAGGGACTGCCTGCCTGAGCCGGGAAGTCCCAGCCTGCGGCAGAGCTGTTCTAATCAATCTTCTTCCCTTCCTCCCAGCCCCAGACTTTTTTCTAGAGGTTGAGGAAAGTACCTTCAGTGAAGCCCTGGAACTTTCAGGCACCCCGTTTCCATATTTTCCTGAGATGATTCCACAGGCAAGTGGAGACCAAGTCATTGCGCCAACCCCTATAAGAGAAAATATCTTGAAAGTTGCTTGTGCAAACTGGGATCAAAAGTGTGAGGGCGGTGGTGGTGTTTAAATGGAATTTGGTTAGTTATAGGGAAAAGCTGGCCAGATAAATGAGTCAATACCAGTACCCATCTTTCCATTACAATTTAGGGACTTACAAATTGTGTTTCATTCTTTTATTAACCAGTTAAATATGCACTGTCAGTTCTTGGGAGTGGGCCATATAAACAAGCCTGAAAATGTGGCTTATCCATGATTTTTTGGTGCCCAAAATTCATGGGTTTTTTTTATGCTACCCTACTTGCACAAAAATTCAATGCTTTGCTTGTTTTTTCAGTTCCTAATGTGGTGGCTGGCACAGAGCAGGAGCACATGCCTAATCCATAATAAACACTCAATGAGTGGTAGCAATAATAACAATCATTATTATTGTTGAATTTTTATCTTTTTCCCCCTTACCCAGCATTTTCTTACTCACGTGAACCTCTATTTCACAGGAAGAAAATTATCTTTAGAAACTTTTGATAAATACACCTGAAAATGTGGCTTGTTTGTGTTTTTCTACCAGCCAAATTTCTAATGTACATGTTGTATATATATATTTTCTTTCTGAAAGCATTAGTTTTATCTACACAAAACATGTAGTGCTCAGTTTGCTAGTTACTATTGAATTTCCCATATCTAGCTCAGTGCCAGGCCCAGACTAGGAGACATAGATGTATATATCCCTGATTTTTTGAAAAGGCTGTCATAGTCCACTCAAAGATGCATGCTTTGGCTAGAACAAGCACGTATAAAAAATTAGTTTATTCGTTGATTCCTCCCTTCATTTTGTATGAATTTTTTGAACACCTGCTGAGTATAGCTTACATACTAATTATAATTTACAACTCTTCTTGGCTTTCATCAGTGATAGCTGCAGGCTAAATATATACACATTTAATTCTGCCACAGTCTCTGGAATTTTGAGTTCTTATAATTCCTGTGCTAATTACACATTTAGGAAAGCATTTCAGTAACACTTGTTTCAGAATAAATATTCTCTTATTGTTAAAAATACTCAGTAGATTTGATTTTGAAGATTACCTATTTTATGGTAGAGCTCTGGCAGCTGGACCTCCACCTTCTCTCTCTGGAAAAGATGGTACTCAGCTTGTTCACAGACTGGTGGGATCATATTGAACTGTCTTGCTACAGAATAGGCTTCCTAGGGAGAAACAAGATTGCAACTGAATTTATACTGATGAAAATAGGCATCACTGTGATTTGTATGCATATGAAATATTCCCTTTAGTGAAATCAGTACAAACCAGGAAACATGTAGGATACCAAATAATAAGCAAAGTTGTGACCACCAATTTTACTAAGAGCAATACCAAATATGGGAAATGCTTATTATTCTTTGGGAGGATTTGGACTGAGTGAAGTCCAGAGCAAATTAGTCAAAGTGTAAATTATAGACTATGGTAAAGAAAATGTGGGCCAGGTGCGGTGGCTCATGCCTGTGATCCTAGCACTCTGGGAGGCTGAGGCGGGAGGATTGCTCAAGGTCAGGAGTTCAAAACCAGTCTGAGCAAGAACGAGACCCTGTCTCTACTAAAAATAGAGAGAAATTAATTGGCCAACTAAAAATATATAGAAAAAATTAGCCAGGCATAGTGGCACATGCCTATAGCCCCAGCTACTCAGGAGGCTGAGGCAGGAGGATTGTTTGAGCCCAGGAGTTTGAGGTTGCTGTGAGCTGGGCTGATGCCATGGTACTCTAGCTGGGGCAGTAGAGTGAGACTCTGTCTTAAAAAAGAAAAAAGAAAATCTGGTTTGAATATTTTTAGGTTCCTCAAGAAATAAGACTTAGACTAACATGTAAAAGTGGTCTGTAATTATCATGTTATAAACAGTATAGTTATTAGTTAGTACAATTTTTTATAAGAAAACTAGAGTTTTCTGTTCATATATCTCATTAGCTGTGAAATTCACTTTACCCTCTTGCCATCAAAGCACATACTAAAACGTTATTCCTGTTAGGGACCTACACACTCCCTGTTGTATTCTGAACTGATGAGCTCCAGCTCCAATATCCATCTCTACAAGGATGAATTGATTATTGAATTTCAGTGTCACAGTGAGTGTGAGAAAAGCTTTCAAATGATTTTGCAATTTGTGCATGACATTTGAAAAACAATAATAAGGTACTCAAAAGTCGTTTTAAAATAGAAGTTAAGTTACCATGATCTCCATAGCGCTCCACCTTGATGTGCCCCAGTACATTGCCATGCCTTGGTTTATCACATGTGTCATGGCTCGAACAATTTCTATAGAAGGTCAATCAGACAGCATTTTGTGAGTTTCTCTACTTTTCAAAATTATATGTTTTTCCCCCTTCTTCCCACAGCTTAGAAATTTAATGCAATTATTTGTTTGATTAATACAATTACTTTGACATTGGTGACAACACACCTGTCTAACATGAAATATTGATGGTTTGGAGGCTGGTGGTACTTTTAGGCAAACTGACATTCCATTTTCACTTTGCAGCAGCAATACTAAATGATATTAAAACTGTAATGACCACTTTAAGTTCTTCTTTTACTTTATCACTTGATGGTTCCTGGCCTGATCAAGAATACATGATTATAACTCTTTCAGGACTTGGGCACATGGCTCACAAAAGTGAGAAGGAAGAGAAAGCATTTGTTTGGATTTTGTAGAGTGCAAGGTCATTGAGGGTGGAAGGCCTGGCTTTGCATGTTAGATTTGCAGAGCTGGCCCTCACACAGAGTGGCTGTTTAATAGAGGTGACTCAATAACTGTGTTTAGCAGAAAGACAAACATATTAAATGCTGAACAAACAGCTGAAACGACAGTGGCTCACAGCCTGCAATGACACGCCTTGTCCTTGATCACTTTGAACAAAATTTTGTCCTAAGACACCCATGTAATTGATTTCCCCGAGCCTGCTCAGGGTCCTGCCCAGTCTGCTCATCAGCCTCTTGCAGCTTGACATCACATTTCCTAAACTGGAAAAGGAACCTTCTTCCCAGGGGGTGGAGCTGAGCTAATCTTGGCACCAGCCAGATGTGATGCATGACCAGAGAGCATAGAGAGCCTCAAGTTCAATTTAGTGAAAATTCACAGACAGGGCTGGATTTCTTCCACAGAGCAGGTCAGCTGAGCACCCAGGATGTCTGGTCATCTAACATTTTCGAGGCATCACAAGCCTCGGGCTTCTCTATGTCTCAGGAATACCTGTCTGTTAAGTGTCCTTCAGAAGGACCAAATCTTTTCTCAGAGTTGAGGTAGATGTATTCTTAATTTTATTTCTCACGAGCAGGCACTGTCTAAATTGATAGGAGAAAGGATTTGGAATGAAATGGCCAGGGTTAGGGTCTTAGCTTCTTTTCTTGTTTGGCTTCATAAGCTATTTTAAATTGCCCTTGATTTCTGTTTAGAACTGCTGTCCCCACCCCCTGGGCTGCAGCCCGGTATGGTGTATGGCCTGTTAGGAAAATGAGGCTGCATATCACTGCCTGAATTATCCCCAGACCCCATAGGTACCCTCCTTCCCGCCTCTCCCCATTCGTGGAAAAATTGTCTTTCATGACAATTGCAGGGACTCTGTGTCTGCAGTCAAGTAAGATGAACACAGAATGCTTTCCGGTGGCTTGGCCACATGGAGTTCCCGAAGTCCTTGACAAGGAAAGACGGAGGTTGTGCCTCCTCCTGCACATGCATTCACTTATCCACCACACATGTATTAGAAGCGTAATATTTGCCAGGCATGGTGCCAGTTGCTGGGTTCATCTGTGAGGAAAACAGACAAAGGGAGTTCTGTGACTCAGGGAGTTCCTAGACTCAGGGAGCTTAGAATTGAGTGGGGAAGATGGAGAAGTAAACAAGTGAATAATTACAAAACGTGAGGTGTTATGAAGAAAACCAATAGGAAGCTGAGATAGGAAGTGAAAGGGAAGACCTATTTAGTTAGAGCAAAGAAGGTCTCACTGAGGAGTAATGATTAGGCATTAAAAAAAAAAAAAAGAGCCAGCCATGTGAAGAACACCAGAAGAGCATTATACACAGATGGCACAGCATGTGCAAAGGCCCTGAGGCAGGACAGAGCTTAGTGAGTTCCAGTAATTTGGAGGAAGCCATTGTGGCAGGAGCCTAGTAAGGAAGGAGGACAGGGGTACAAAATGAAGTTGGCAGGGGGTAAGCCACATTATTTGTGTGTTATTCAGAGTTCAATGGGGTCAGTAACTTTTTTAGGTAAGGAATGATAGGATGTCATTTACATTTCAGAACACTATCTCTGACTGTGCTGTGGAGAATCAGCAGCAAAAGGGAGTACTGGGGGAGCGGAAAGGCAAGTAAGGGAAAGGGAGGAGTCAAGGCTGTTTCCCACATACCTGGCCATTCATACAGAAATGAGGGAGTGTTTTTGAGGGAAGGAAAATCAATGGCTCTTCTTTGGACATGCAAAAAATGCAGATGCATGTGGGTTACTAAAGGGGAGATGCTGAGTTGATATAGTTGGATAAATGACACAGTGAATGATCTGGGCTGGAGGTGGTGTATTTATTAATTACCAATCTGTTGATTGTATTTAAATTCATGAAAATGGATAAGGCTTTGTAAGAAAAGTCTATAGCGAGAAAAGAGAAGAGGTTCTAATTGCTAGCATAGGATTGGAGAGTGGACCCCACGCAGGGTGTTGGGTGGCCAGTGGCAGGAAGCCAGTGGGGAGGGATGTGTCGGAACCAAGAGCAGAGAGTGCTTCAAGAAGGAGCTGCACCCACAGGGTGGACACGGTGAACGTTCATGTCAGAGGGGCACAAACTGGTCTCCCCTGGATCTGGCCACATGCAGGGAGGTCACTGCAGAGTGTTGGTGGTGTGATGCGACCAAGGCCAGGCTGGAGCCAGTGGAGGATTGGGAGGTGGAGGGGGGGCTTTAGGGACAAGCTGGGTAGGTGACTCTTTCAACAAGTTTGGAAGTGAATGGAGCAGAGAAATAGGACCGTGGCTGAAGGGAATTTGGGATCAAAGGAGAGTTAATTTAAAGATGGCAGATGTAAGGAAATGCTGTATGTTATTGGGAATGATCTAGAAAGAGAGTAATTGGGCCGGGCACGGTGGCTCACGCCGTAATCCTAGCACTCTGGGAGGCCAAGACGGGAGGATCGCTTGCGATCAGGAGTTTGAGACCAGCCTGAGCAAGAGCGAGACCCTGTCTCCACTAAAAATAGGAAGAAATTAGCTGGACAACTAAAAATATATAGAAAAGAATTAGCCGGGCATGGTGGCACATGCCTGTAGTCCCAGCTACTTGGGAGGCTGAAGCAGAGGATTGCTTGAGCCCAGGAGTTTGAGGTTGCTGTGAGCTAGGCTGACACCATGGCACTCTAGTCAGGGTAATAGAGCAAGACTGTGTCTCAAAAAAATAAAAAAATAAAAAAAGAAGAAAAGAAAAGAAAGAAAGAAGAAAGTAATTGATGATACAGACTAGAGGGTTGGGAAGGAAAGGGGAGAGAGACTTGATAACTCAGATAGGGTGAGGAGACACCTGGGGCAGGAAGGACACTTCTATCGAGATGGTGGGACCCAGATAGGTTTGTAGAACTCATCATGGAAAGACATGGGAGCTCAGGTTTGATGAACTCTAGTCTCAATAAACTATGATTCAAGTGACAAAGAGGTGGGTGTAAGAAGTGAGGAGAGCCTCTGCAAGACACACCAGTGCCCCAGGTCCTTTAGTTGCTGGTAAACAAATCAGTTGCCTTTGACTCTGGAGACAAGGGCTTGGTGGAATAGGGAAGGAGAACTCCAGGAGTTCCTGCCCTTGGAGGAGGCTGCAACACCAAACGCAGGGAGAAACTGCAGGAGAACTGAGAGGCCACAGTTGGAGATTCATGTTGCCACAAATCAAAATTTAATTCATATGAAATTAGTTTTTTTAATGTCAGAGAAAAATCCCTCAAGTTTCTTAGTTATCAGATAAGAACCATATTGATGGCCGAGGTGGATTTTTACATGATTCTGATATGTAAGGACACTAGAGGGCAGCATTGTTAAAAGAAAAAAGTCAATGGAACTCTAGATATTGTTTTACCTGGGGATCATGGACAGGTGTTTTAAAGCATCCTAGGTACAGCAAGGGTTCTGCGTGGGGGAACGGGCGTTAAAAAGATCATTTAGTGCATTGCATTCACCAGCCTCTGGGAAAGGACACTCAGACAAATGTGATTGAATCTGATGACCCAGGACTGAATGTGACTCCCCCACCCACACTCCTTCCCTGATTTTCCAGACACCTCAGCTCAAGTGGTTCTCATCCCCGACTGCACGTTAGAAACACCTGGAGGGGCTTTGAAAACTACCCATGTCTAGGTTCCACTGAAGATGTATTATATTGGAATCTCTGGGGGTGAGGCCCCAGCATCAACGATATTTTAAAAACTCATCCTAGATGATTCTAGTGTGCAGCCAGGGTTAGAACCAAATGCTTGTCTACACCAATGGTCTCGAAGTGTAGACCCTGGAACAGCAGCATCAGCTGCACCTGGGAACTTGTTATAAATGCAAATCCTCCAGCCTCACCCCATATCTAGTAAATTACATGTTCTGGGAATGGACAGCCTAGCAGTTTGTTTTAAGCAGCCCTCCAAGCTATGCTGATACACACTGATGTTTGAGAACCACTGCTCTGTACCATTCCTAAGTAAGCCATTTCAGTGGGTATAAACTTCCTCCCTCATTTCCTCCTCTGCTCTTTCATCTAATTGCAATGCTTCATGCTATAACCTTTTGCTTTGGTTATTTGTCTTAGTACCTATGCAAACAGATAGTTGCTAAGATATGCACGTACGCACACATGCACACACCCACCCACACACACACACTTTGGTGTAAATCAGAATCACCTAGGGAATTTGATAAAAATACAGAGGTCCAGGTCCTAGCCTTCTTCAATGAGCTGGGGCCTTTGTATTTTTTATTAGCTCTCAAATCACAAAGTTTGAGAAAAACGGTCTAAACTGTCAAAAGACTTTGTTTATCCTTCCTCTGTGCTCCTTTCCAAGTTGACATGATCATTATTCTTTAAGCTGGGGAAGCCTCCCCAGGGCTCACAGGCCTCAGGCAGCTCATTGGCTTATTCCCTCAGTCTTAGCACACAGGTGGTTCTCTATAAATGCTGCAAGTCAGTTTTGCTTCTTGGAGTATTTCATTCCCATCTATAAAGTGGCAGCGATATTGATCTTGTGGAATTCTTTCAAAGGTTGACATGGGATAATGGGTGTAGACTGATTTGTGAATCT